AAAAAAAAAAAGGAAAAAAAATATCAGGAATGGTAGCTCAGGCCTGTAATTCCAGCACTTTTGGAGGCTGAGGTGGGAGGATTGTTTCAGCCTAGGAATTTGAAGCCAGTGTGAGCAACATAGCGAGACCCCCATCTCAAAACAATTAATTTTTTTGGCCAGGCACGGTGCCTCACATCTGTAATCCTAGCACTCTGGGAGGCCGAGGCAGGTGGATTACTTGAGCCGGGTCTAGCCTGAGCAAAAGTGAGACACCGCATCCCTCCCACCGCCTCTACAAAATATAGAAAAATTAGTCAAGCATCATCCTGGTCACCTGTAGTCCTAACTACTTGGGAGGCTGAGGCGGGAGAACCGCTGGATCCCAGGAATTTTTGTCTCAAAAAAAAAAAAAAATTACTGGGAGGCTGAGGTGGGTGGATTGCTTGAGCTCATGAGTTCCAGACCAGCCTAAGCAATAGTGAGTCCATCTCAACTAAAAATAGATAAATTAGCCAGGTGTGGTGGTACAGGTCTTTAGTCTTAGCTACTTGGAAGGCTGAGGCAAGAGGATCACTTGAGCCCAGGAATTTGAGGTTGCTGTGAATTAATGACAACACCATGGCACTCAATACCAGGGTAATGGAGCGAGACACTCTCAAGAAATAAATAAGACAGGGTGGCGCCGGTGGCTCAAAGGAGTAGAGCGCCAGCCCCATATGCCGGAGGTGCCAGGTTCAAACCCAGCCCTGGCATAAACTACCAAAAAAAATAAGAAAAGAAAGAAAGTAAAAATTAATGTGAAAAAAGTAATTGTGAACATTCCTCCAAAACTTTTCGTTTTTAAAAAGCATGTTATTTTTTACCTATGTGAGAACATTTCAAGTTCATTAAATGTTTGATGCTAAATAGGGAATTATGATGCTAAATAGGGAATTATGTACTTTTTTTGCAATTGGTCGAATATCTATATACAGTACTTGCAATTTACAAATCAAAGGGAAAACCAAGGGCTGTGGCTCAGGCCTGTAATCCCACAACTGTGGGAGGCTGAAGTGGGAGAATTGCTTGAGCTCAGCAATTAGAGACTTGTCTGAGCAAGACCAAGACCCCAACTCATTAAAAAAATGGAAAACTAAAAAAAAAAAAAAAAAAGAAGGCT